CCTGCTCATGCTCTGTGTCTCAAAAATAAATAAATGTTAAAAAACACTTTAAAAAAAAAGTTTTTTTTTAAAAATCCTGCCTGCTAATAGTAAATTGTCATATCTTTTTTGCATCATAATTTTCTATATTTCTTATTTCACTTGAATTATGAGCAGTATAATAAAGATTTGAAGACAGATTTGGTTACACCACTTTTTATTTAGGAGTAAAGAATAATTTCCCTGTTGGTAAGTGGTGTAAGTATATTTAGTTCATAGAGTTTTTATGAGAATTAGCTCATTAAGTGGAAGCAGCTATTTTTCTTAATACAATTATAAATTACTTAATGTCACCTTTGGTAGCTGTAACTGGATATTTATTTAACTTAATTTAAAATTTAATTAATTTAATTTAATTAATTTTCTTTCTTCCGTGGCTGTTGTTGGTATGGAGTCTCTAAATGCTGTCATACCTGTATGTGTATCTCAATTTTTGTTCTAGCAGTGGTAAATACATGAGTAAAAAATTTCAAACCATGGAGATATATTTGAAATCAAAAATTAAAATATCTTTGCCTACCTCCTAGTGTCCTGCCTAGAAGATAAACACTGTTACATGTTTATCATCTTCCTGGGGTGCCTGGATGGCTCAGTCGGTTTAAGTGTCAAACTCTGGATTTCAGCTCAGCTCATGATCTCACAGTTCAATCTGCTTGGGATTCTCTCTCTCTCCCTTTCTCTATCCCTCCCCTGCTCATGTGCATGCTCTCTCTCTCTCTCTCTCTCTCTCTCTCTCAAAATAAATAAATAAACTTTAAAAGGTTGTATCTTCTGGAAATCATTCCACATTAGCAAATATAGGCCTATCTTATTCTTTTTTATTTTTTCATTTTTTTTAATGTTTATTTATTTTTGAAGGAGAGAGAGACAGAGTGTGAGTGGGGGAGGCACAGAGAGAGAGGGAGACACAGAATCTGAAGCAGGCTCCGGGCTCCGAGCTGTCAGCGCAGAGCCCGATGCGGGGCTCGAACTCACGAACCGTGAGATCATGACCTGAGCCGAAGTCGGACGCTCAACCAACTGAGCCACCCAGGCGTCCCATGGGCCTATCTTATTCTTGATAGATGCATATTCCATTGTTTGGATATCAGTAGTGCATTTAACCAGTCTCCTATTTATAGACATTCTTAGGTTGTTTTTAGGTCTTTGTATAACAATGAAATTTGTACATCCTTTTACAAATATCTTTGCATACTTGAGACTGATTCTTAATACTAAGTCTGTACCTTTATATTTTGGATAGATATCGTCAAATTGTCCTTCAAAAATGTATATCAGTTTACTTTCCCATCACCAGTGTGGTGAAAAGCATCTGTTTCCCAGCACCTCAGCCAACTCTGTATTTTACTTAACTGTAAAATTTTTGCCACTTTAAAAGATGGAAAACAGGGTGGTCTTACTTCAGTTCACATTTCTTTCATTTTAGTGAGGTTGACTATTTTTCATATGTGTATTTATCATTTCTCTCTGTGAGCTGCTCCTTCATAACCTTTGCCCATTTTTATGCATAAGATTGCTTATTTTTATACCTTCATTTCAAATATATTTACTTGAGGAATCATAGTTTCCTCTTTCCTCTTCCTCTTCCACTTTTCATTGGTGCCTGGGTGGCTCAGTTGGTTAAGCGTCCAACTTCGGCTCAGGTCATGATCTCATAGTCCATGAGTTTGAGCCCTGTGTTGGGCTGTGTGCTGGCAGTTCAGAGCCTGGAACCTACTGCAGATTCTGTGTCTCCCTCTCTCTCTGCCCCTCCCCTGTGCTTGCTCACGCTCTGTCTCAAAAATAAATAAACATTAAAAAATACTTTTTTAATGCAGGTTTTTTTTCATATTCCTCTTTCAGGCATTTCATATTCTGGCATTGGGTTTACTAGAAGAAAAGCAACAGCTTGAAAAAGCTCCTGAAGAAGAAGTGACATTTGACTTTTACCATAAGGCTTCAAGTATGTTTTAGTATTAATTTTCAGTATAGTTTCAGCTAATTACCAAGTGAAAGTTTAGCTCTTACAGAGTGTTAATCTGCCACTCATTAAAGCATAGACAATTCTGAAATTGTTTAAGACGTTTCCTAGCATCTTTTGTTCTTAACTAATGTTTTCAAAAATAAGTGTTTTTTTAATTCTCTACTGTATCTTTTTACTGCATGATCCCCCCCTTTCTTTGAATGGGAGATAAATATATTGATGGTTTCTTGCCTTCTTTGTCTAGTATTACCAAATATCTGCTGCTTCATCAACCATAACATTCACACTACCCATCTATGGAAGTTATTAATGTTCCTGAATGTAAACTGATTGCAGACATCTGAGTGAATGATAATGTGTGTGTTTGGCACTGTTTTTTACCTGGCAGAACAGGATAGGTTTAGATTAGATTTTTAAGTTTTATTTAGATATTTATTAGATTAAGATAGTTTTCATCAAAGCATATTCCAGGGACATTGATTAGGAGACCAAAAGGAGAAAAGCTTCTCCTTTTCTATTTATAAACTGAGTTTTTTCGATCCTTGAAGACATCATAAACATACTCAGTTTATGGTCATAAACAGCCCCCACGTTCATATTTTGGGGAGGTTTGGTTCTAATTAACTACTTTTATTAGGCAATGAACCAAGTGGAGGAAAGGTGAGACACAGATCATTAAAAGTAGCTTTCACTTAGCCCCAGTGGAAAATGTATTAAGAATTTTAAAGTAATTCAAGTTTTTCAAGTTTAATTTAGTACTGAGTACTTCATGTCATTGCAGATTCTTCCATTGAAAAATTAATGTATTTAAGGAAGTGATTGTGAACTTTGGCCATCAATGTGAATAACATTAACTATAAATTATAATTTATACATAATTATGAAGATACTCATTTATGATTTGTAACTTTTGTGTTTTAAAAAAGGATTGGGAAGTTCAGCCATGAATGCTCAGAATATACAGATGCTTTTGGAAAAACTCAAAGGAATTCCCCAGTTAGAAGGCCAGAAAGACATGATAACATGGATACTCCAGGTGAACCTGATAAATTAATCATATCTTGGTTTATATATTTAAGAATCCTCTGTTTGCCTGTAATGTTAAACTACTGTTCTCTAACTGTAAAGTCATTTACTATTGATTTCGTGGTCACTCACATGTTTTCCTATTTTAGTGAAAGGATTTTTTTTTTTTCTTAATGTTTTTATTTATTTTTGAGACAGAGAGAGACAGAGCAAACAAGGGGAGGAGAGCAGAGAGGAGAGAGCAGACGGGTGAGTAGGTCCAGGCTCAGGCCATGCTTCAGGGGAAGGCCGATGTGGGCTCGAACTCACAGACTGTGAGATCTCAACCGATTGAGCCACCAGGCGCCCCTGAAAGGATTTTTTTTTAATAAATTAAAATTTATTCATTTATATCATTATTTAGTTGGTATCTATTGATTGCCTTTTATGTGCCATGGTCATTTCTAGACACTGAACAAGATAGATAAGGTGCTTGCTGTTGTGGAGCATATACTAGTTCAGGTACAGGCAATAAACAAGAAAAGGATAATTCAAAAAAAAAAAAAGAAAGAAAGGAAAGGATAGTTCAGTAGATGAATAGAGGGTAACTTCAGATGGGTAACCAGAAAGGCTTTTCTTAGGAGGTGACATTGAAACTGAATGACGTGGAGCCAGTCTTAGAAAAATCTGGAAGAGTATTCCACACAGAGGGAACAGCACTGCAAAAGCTCTAAGGAGGCCAGAAAGAAGGCCAGTATGACTGAAGCACAATGAGAGAAGGAGAAAAAGGTAGGCAACAAGGTCAGAGGGACAGCCAGGGGCCAGATCATATAGAACTTTCCAGGTGAAGGTAAAAAGGTGGATTTTATTTTTGAGAACAGTGGGAAACCACTGAAGGATTTTAAGTGACATAGTATTGTCTGTACTTTTGTAAGATCACTCTGGCTGCTGTGGGGTAAGTGGATTATAGGGTATAAGAGTAAAAGCAGGGAAACTATTAGAAAACTGTTGCAGAAATCCTGGTGAGAGATAAGCATGACCAGGGCTCGGATGCAGATGGCGAGAAGCTGGACTGATTCAGGTGTAATTTGGTAGTAGAATCTGTAGAACTTGCTGATAGATATGGTGGATGAGGGAGATCAAGGAGTCAAAAATGACTCCTGCATTTGGAGCTTGAACTGTTGGGTGGATGGCAGTGCCTTTGGGGAGGAGTGAGTAAGGAAGGGGTAGGGAGAGAAGCTGGAAATATTACTTTAATGGGAATCCTCCACATGGAAACATGAAGCGAAGGTTATGGAGCTTCACCTCACTGGACTTATTAAAAGATTCTGATGTTATCAGCTAGATATTGTTTTGATAACTAGAATATGGATTGATTAATTTCCATATTCCTATCAATTGGAGATCTTTGTACTGATTTGTACTTCAAGAAGTTGGCTTTTTTTATTCCTTAGAGTAAGTCACTAAACATGTTTGATATAATTAGGTTTGTGGCTATAAGGTAATGTTATTACTAGGTTTCTCCTGAAGCAGAATTCACAAAGAAATTTAGTATTTGTGTTAAATTTGCCAATATAATTACTTTAAAATACAAAAACAAAACAAAGTAGATAAGTTTTCAACTTTTATTAAGAAAATAAATTGAACTGTCATTTATTTCAACATGTATGTCTTGCAGACACAATGTTGTATATTAGAGATCTATTCCTGAAAATTGATTTTCTTTTAGAATACCAAAGTTTCTTGTCAAAATATACAAAAGTACAAGTGTCCACTGTTAAAATCATTAGGAATTTTCCTCAAATGTTCAATATAAAGTTGTAAGTTCCTAGTGGGAGGTATTTACACATGAGACTGAGACTCCTTCAAATACAAACATTTTGTGGATGGATGTACCATCCTATTGCTGAAACATTGTTTTTTGTTAAAAACAATGAGACTGATCTATGCAAACTATTATGGAAACATCTTCACAGATAAATGATTAAGTGAAAATGGAAGATAGGAAACAATGTATATGGTAGGATTGCTTTTGATGAGAATATGTGTAAATATAAAGAAATATATATTCTGATAATTTTTTCATGCAAACAAATACTAATAATCTTTAATTTAGTTGATTTTGGGGAGAGGGACTTGATCAGGGAGAGGGTTTCATTTTCCATTTTGTATTCTTGTCTTTATATGCCTTTGCATTAAAATAAGTAATTTATAATCTAAAAAAATTTTTTTTCCCTAGCAAAAGCAGAGAAATGCTAATACCTACAGATGGAATTAGCTAATTTTGTTGCCTGCAGCCTCCTGCTTAGCTGTATTGCTAATCAACTAGGGCAGGTGTTTGTCACAGTCAGGAGTCACTTTTTATATACTTAAAACTACTTATATAACTATTTATATGCGTGACTGTGTGTGTGTGTAAAGTTTAAGTCAGACATTTGATGACGTGATGACAAAATCAAATTAGTGAATTTTTCTGTTTCTTATCAGTCTAACCAAATCTTTTTTTTTAACATTTCATCTGTTTTTCATAGATGTTTGACACAGTGAAGCGATTAAGAGAAAAATCTTGTTTAATTGTAGCAACTACATCAGGATCAGAATCTATTAAGAATGATGAGGTAATAACATTATATTAATGGTGATGTTCTTGGTCTTTAAACTTTACCGGTTTAAGGTAGCTGCTGCTTTTTTATTAGAAGGAAGCTGTTTGTTGTAAAGTTTGTGAGATGTACCATCTTCTTTTGTTCATTGTGTTTCTGTACCACAGGGATTAGTGCTGCTTGACACATAGTTGTCCAGTATAATATATGTATTTTAAAAAATCAGAGGAAATTGATGTACGTGGAGCTCTGTCGGAAATACCATATTTTATTAATTTTTAAAATATTTTAATATCTGAAATTGGGATATATCCTATAATCAATGACTTCTTATAATTTAGTCAGCATTCTTAGTGGAACATAAGAAAATGGTACATCTTAGATTCAATGAAATGTAGTAATATTCAGGTTATGATGATTCTAATATTAAAATTATTAGAATACTATTTATTACTTATGATTTTTTTATTATAGTTTTTAACTATTCCTCCTAAAAGAATAACACTGGACTTAAGTTAGAATAAACAATAAAAAGACACCATACATGTCAGTAATATTGTTAAAGTTCTCAGTTTTAGCAATGCATCTAGTAGTAACTGTTAGATAGTGTCAGGTTGGTCAAAATTGATTAAATGTCAGTGATTAAACAATTAACATGATTTAAAAATTTTGTTTCATTTAATTTTCTTAATCTACCTGCATTGAGTATAAAAGACCATTTATTAGATATTTAAAGTACTTGGGGCTTTTAGATTAAATTATTGAAATAATCAAAAGAGCAATTAGTTGTATGATAGGATGGAGCCTATATGCTAGTTCTGAGACATCAGATTGAATCTAGGCTTAAGGGGAAATCAAGTTTTATCAGACTCTTACTCTGGGAAGTTTTGCTTGACTGAATAGTATATGTCAATTTTAACAATGGATCCTACCTAATTTTTGTGTTTTTTTTAATACCCAGATTACTCATGATAAGGAAAAAGCAGAACGGAAAAGAAAAGCTGAAGCTGCTAGACTGCACCGCCAGAAGATCATGGCTCAGATGTCTGCCTTACAGAAAAACTTTATTGAAACTCACAAACTGATGTATGACAGCACCTCAGAAATGTCTGGGAAAGAAGACTCCATTATGGAGGAAGAGAGGTAAAACCTAGCAAAACTAAAAATTAGCAACTCAGTTTTTTTGAGGGAAAATGACATATTCACTTTAAATAAAATCTTTCCAAAATATATTTTGTAGTAAGAGAAATTATACTGTATTTAAATTAGCAAAAGCACAGTGAGAACTCTAAGGTATTATTGAATGTAAGTTTATGTTGATGAACAGTTCAAGTGCGCAATAGTTTGTTAAAAGCCTTTATGTACAAAAAGGAAAATGGAAATGGTAAAAATCGAAATCAGCTTCTGTTATCTTGTATAAATGGGAGCCCCTTTAGGTACACATTTATATATCAATTCATACATTCCACCGTTTTTATAATTTCTGGTAAAAATGAGTGTAGTTACTACGGGTTGAAAAAAAATCTTTCACCTGAAAAAGGTAGTTTATATTTCTTTTTCTTTTTTTCTTGAAGAGAAAGAAGACAGTGCCTGTAATTGTAGTCATGGACAGCACATTACAATGAGAATCAATAAATCTGATTTTCTGAGTCCTACTGTGGTGTGCTCTTGGGGAAATCAGTTAACCTTCTGAGAGCCACACTTTGTGAGCTCTTATATGGTTACAGTGTGAAAAGGAGGGAAAATAAGGATACTTTTAAAAGCACTCCAATTTAAAATGTAAATACCTCCTATGCTTTTTTTTTTTTTTAATGTAATTT